GGGGGGGGGGGGTGCCCCACCTGGCTGCCCCCCCCCTTTCACCCTTCACCTTCTTGCTGCCACATTTCCAAAAGCACACACTCTTATTATTTCCCTCCAAAAGCCTCCGATCTGCAACCAAAACGACTCTAAAACAAACGCGTGAGCTCCCGGAAAAGGAGCCGATCGGTGGTGAATCCACAGATTTTCTTGGGCTTTTTTTTTCCTGACTGAAAATGAGTTTGAATCAGACTTTGCTCGATCATGATTGTCTCTTTGTTCCCGTTCTGACCTCTCACTGTCGCGGCCCGGCTGTTAAATGTTCGTTTGTCCTGACTGTGGAATAAAGGACTGATTTTTATGTACTGGAGCTCGCCTCTTTTTTTTGTTTGTTTCCTGAATAAAAAAGGCCGTTAGATGTTGTGGTTTTTAAAACAGGAGGTTTTATGTAATATTCCAAAGTGTGTTCACCTCCTAAAACAGTCCTATAAAAAGCTCTTTTATAGGACTTATAGGATATTTTTTATTCAAATAAGTGTAGAGAATAAACAAAAACCAACCTAATAAGTTTTAACTCTTCAGTGTTGCAGCTTCATACCGTCAAACTGGGGATAATTAGTTTTAAAAAAACTAATTTTGGGGATAAAAAAAAGTTTTTTTCCCCCCTTTTTACGGGGTTCACGGCGGGGGGGTGGTTATGCCCCCCCCCCCCCCCCCACAGACAGCAGGAATGGTGGACTCCACTAGACAGACAACTCACCGTCTGGTCGCTGGTGACTGTGTCCGTGCTCCGCTTTTCCTTATCAGATAAGACTCTGCTGCGGGGCTGAGTTTGACTTTTCTCTCCTTTCCAGTCAGCAAACGGACTCTGACATGCGCTCACGCGCGCGCTTCTGCCGCTGGTCTCGTGTTAGGGCGTGTAAACGGGGAGGAAAGGGGGGGGGGGGCATGTTCTAGCTACTTCTACTGTTGAGAAAGAGGCGCCGGTGTTCTGTCAGACCAGCATACCCCGTCAGATCAGCATACCCATAGTCAATAATACGCATGCGCATGACTTTAGATTTTCGTACGGGGTAAGGTAGTCTGACAGTATAGGTGTCAGATTAGCATACCCCGTCAAAAGGTTGTAGTTGAAGGTAAACACACAAACTTACCAGAAAACCACACCGAAAGTAAAGTACTTTTGTTTATTTACGGGTGATGTAATAGACAAAAAGTTTTAGTCGGAGGTAAACAGAATTTAGTAGCGAACTTTGAACACAGACAGCCTCGCTTTCTTCACACCCTGACGTAGCAGCTAACCTGTCAGATTGTCATACAACGGTTAAGCCTATATCTGACGGCCTAAGTATGACGATCTGACGGGCTAGGTATGGCGATCTGACGGGCTAGGTATGGCGATCTGACGGGCTAAGTATGGCGATCTGACGGGTTAAGTATGACCATCTGACGGGCTAGGTATGACGATCTGACAGGCTAAGTATTGCAATCTGACGTGCTAAGTATGATGATCTGACGGGCTAAGTATGGCGCTCTGACGGGTTAAGTATGACCATCTGACGGGCTAAGTATGGCGATCTGACGGGCTAGGTATGGCGATCTGACGGGCTAGGTATGGCGATCTGACGGGCTAAGTATGGCGATCTGACGGGCTAAGTATGACCATCTGACGGGCTAGGTATGACGATCTGAC